TCTCTCACATTCATTTTTCTTTCTCATTACTTTATTTCTTTTTCAATTTTTTCTCATTTCTTTGTCTTGCTTTCTCTTTTTTTTCTTTCCTTTATTTTATCTTACTTAGGTCCTTGTTCACTTTCTCATTTTTCCTTTCTTCTTTCTCCCTTTAATTTAATTCTCTTATTTTCTTTAACTTTTTTTTTCTCATTCTTTCTTGCTTGCTTATTTGCTTTTCTTCTTTCTCGTTTTCCTTTCTCTTTTTCACTCTTTTACTCTTCATTTATTTTGTCTTACTTTGTGTTTTCTTTTTCCTCCTTCCATCTCTCTTGCTTTATTTCTTTCTTCCCTCTTTTTTCTCTTTTTCTCTTTCATTTTTCTCTCACCTTTCTCTCTTTGCTTTCTCTTTTCTTTCCCTCTCTTTTTTACTTTTTCATTCATTCTCTCTTTTTAAATTTTTTCTTTCACCTTTCTCTCATGTTTTCTCTCTTTTTCACTTTCTTTCAGTCTCTTTTTTTCTCTTTCTTTCCTTTTTCTTTCCTTTACTTTCTTTCGTTCCTTTTTTCTCTCGTTTCTTTCTCCCATTTATTTTTCTTTCTTTTGCTTTTTCTATTTCTCATTCACTTTTTTCTCTCTTTCTTTGTTTCTTTCTTTACTTTATTTTATCTTACTTTTCTCTTATTTAGGTCCTTATTTCCTTACTCTTTTTTTCCTCTCTTCTTTCTTAATTTCATTCTCTTACTTTCTTTTTTATTTTTTTTGCTCATTCTTTCTTGCTTGCTTTTCTTTCTTTCTCATTTTCCCTTCTTTTCCTTTCTCTTTTTTACTTTTTTTATTTGCTTTTACTCTCTTTATTTTCTCATACTTTGCCTTTTCTTTTCTTAATTCAATCTCTTTTTCTATTTTATTTCGTTCTTCCCTCTTTTTTTTCTTTTCTTTCACTTTCATTTTTCTTCATTTTCTTTTTTTCTTTGTCTCTTTTTTACTTTTTCATTCATTCTCTCTTTTTAATTTTTTCCTTTTACTTTTCTCTTGTCTTTTCTGTCTTTTTCACTTTGTTTTCTTTAATTTATCTTTCTCTTTTTCTGTCTTTAATTGTTCTCTCTAACTTTTTTCTTTCTTTATTTTTTTTTTCTCTTTCCACTTTCCTTTCTTCCTACCGGGAGCATGCATTATGCACCTCACAGTAAGCAGCAGCATGGATAATGTCAACTCTTCCCTTTGTTTCTTCAGTCATCATTCACAAACACTGCACATGACATTGATGTGTACCGGTAGAGCAGTGTGTTCAATAACAGCATGTGCTTCTGTTTCCCATCAGAATGTCTCACTACACAGACGAGCCACGCTTCACCATCGAACAGATCGACCTCCTCCAGAGACTGCGGCGCACAGGTATGACCAGACCCGAGATCGTGCACGCCCTCGACACCTTGGAGCGACTCGACCGTGAACACGGCGACAAATTTGGCCGCCGCGGCCCGTCAGACTCCATCGCCACCAACAGCACGACCTCCAGCACTACACCCACCTCAAATAACGCTAGCAATGCCACCATGGCAACTTCCTCCACCACTTCCACAGCAACTCAGACGCAGTTCCCTGGCAACCTATCGCCCTCGCCTAGCAACAGCTATGCCACATCTCCACCCGCTGTACTGCCCTCGCCTGTCTCTCTGGTAGCCCTGGCTCAGAACGGACGGGACGCTCTGGCAGCCACACCCAATGGGAAACTATCACCAAACCGCTACACAGTGAACAGTTCTGTGGCTGTGAGGACGTACACACTCGAGGGGTCCGAGGAAGACCTGGATATAGATGACAAGGTGGAGGAGCTCATGAGGTCAGTCTGCTTTTTTAGGGTTATTAATCGACCCTTTTCACATGTCCAGGTTTCTCATCAGCGAAAGTCGTTATAATTGGTAAACTTAGGCCCAATCCCAATACTCCCCCTTAGCCCTTACCCCTTGTTTTGCTGGTTAGGGGTAGGGGTGTCCCAATTCTCTTTAACTTGAAGGCGTAGGGCTAAGGGCAAGGGCTAGATACCCCTTCGAACTGAGATTTTTCAGGACCACACTCAAAACCAAGGGGTAAGAAAATTTCCCAGAATACACCAGCAGGATAACTGCACCCGGAAGATGCACAAATTAATACTTTTTGTCATTATTACAAATTTTTATAACAAACAAGTAGAGGTGTGAACCTATACTGGTCTCACGGTTCGGTTACGATTATCATGCCATCGATTCGGTTCAATTCGATATCTCGATGCATCACGGTGCATTGACGATGCTTTCCATACACAGTGTTATATTTTGTGGGGAGGCTATAACAAGCTGTCTGTATAAACACACTGACACACAGCACAACACTGTCTCTCATTCAAACTCATACACAAACATAGACATAGGGTTGTAACAATATACCGGTATGACGGTTTACCACGATTTGAACGTGCACGATTATCATACCATGAACAATTGCATATCAACGGTTTTAACCCTTAAAGACAGAGACAGCCGCCCGCGGCTAAAAATAAGTATTGCTCTTAAATGTTTAATAACTTTTGATCCGCTGATCCGATTCATACAATTCAATGATTGGCATAAACAAGAGAATCTCAGCTTTCCAGTGCTGTATCACATAACATTCGCGGACTTTCAGAGGCTCCGGAATCAGTGCGGTTACGTCATCAACATTTGACAACGCTGATTTGACAAAGAAACGCTCGTCACTGTGTCTCCGGACAAATCAGACATGATACATTGATGCATTGTCCCTCCTCCATGCCCAGATTGGTTCAAACTCGCTATATCACAACCAATAAGCATAGGTTTCGCTTTTGTTTGTGGACCAACAATGAGCTTTTTGAACAACACGGAATGAGAGATACATGAGGCATACATTTATGCGCGGCTAAATAAAACGCAAAAAAAAAAGTTTTGCATGAAATAATTCTCATACTAAGTACTTTTGCATGCACAGCAGCACAGAAACATGACAAAACAGTGACACAGCAAAGACGAACTGCTGCTCTTGCTGTTTTCAAAAGACGCAAATGAAGATGCAGCTGTTTGTCTGCATTGCAGACAACCAAATCCATATCCACAAACAACCATATCCATGCTGGCACATAAAACCTAAGGATGTTCCATACTGAATCTAGTTTCGTTATGTAACTATTTATAGTATAATAAATATTTATATCTATTTTTTACTGAGGATTTGCACCATGTTTATTTGGACTTTATTTGGACTTAGACACATTATTTATTATTTTCTTATTTTTATTTGTTCATTGTAAGTGGTGTTGTTTATAGTAACTAAAAATATATTATTTGGGAAAAAGTCAAATTTGCTTCACTGTTCTATTATTTTGTAACATTTGTAACATACCGTATACCGCGAAACCGTCAAACCGTGGTATTGTTTTAGACGATTATCATACCGTGAAAAATTCATACCGTTACAACCCTACATAGACAGCACCAAACAAACAAACAAACAAACACACACACACACACACACACACACACACACACACACACACACACACACCAAAGCCCTCGTAATATGCAATTAGCCGGGAGAGCTCGCGCAGAGCGGAGCAATAAAAAAGAAAAAAAGAAACACTTTTCACACTTTAGATCTTTTTAGGGTAAGAGGTTTTTGAGTTATTGTCGCTATAACTGAATGTGTGTCAGGATTATCGAAAAAAAAACAACTTAACCGCGCTCATTTCTGGTGCCCCCCTGGATGTAAAGCGCCCTTGGCATTTGCCTTTACTGCCTATGCCACGGGCCGGCCCTGAGTTGGCTACTGAGTGTTGTAAATACCGGCGCTCACCTCCCTCGCGACAGAGCACATAGGAGATAGATGACTTCAGTACATAATAACAGGTTATGATTATTACTGAACCGATACCAAATTATTCGCGTCTGCATCACGGTGCACCGAAAAAACAATTAATTTTGACACCCCTTCAAACAAGCACATGTTTTAATATATTCATAACTGCGTTTTTTGCTATCGATAATCCCTAATAATAACTCCTGTACAGCAGTACCACGACATTCTGACACTCGAATACCCTGTCAGAAAAGTCTACTGGCTGAGAATGAGCGTTTTACAGTGTCTGCTGTAATGTTAAGGGTGTTTTTAGTGTGTTTACATAGATGAATATGGCCACTGTGTTAATGCACAGTACAGTCACGAGCTTATTGCCACATTATATTTAGAGCTGCACGCTTAATCGAAAAAAGATTGCGATCTCGATTCGACCCTCTAGACCAGGGGTGTCAAACTCAGTTCCAAAAGGGCAGAAGCCCTGCACAGTTTAGTTCCAACCCTGCTCCAACACACTTACCTGTAGGTTTCAAACAAGCCTGAAGGACTCAATTAGTTTGATACGGTGTGTTTAATTAGGGTTGGAACTAAACTGTGCAGAGCTGAGAGTTTGACACCTGTGCTTTAGACGATCTTAATCCAGCATTTCTACGATTCTGCAAATCATATTTTCAAGTTCAGGAGATTCAGCTGAGGGAACGGAACCAACCCCGTGAGACAGCGAGATATAAAGATGGTGGCACCCTAGGTCTAAAATCTATAGTAAAACATGCTGTTTTCTGCTAAATGGTTACATGAACTGAGTTTAATATATTTTCATTAAAGTGGAATCCACTGTACAAAGTAAGGTAAACTTGACTGAGTGCTTCATTTCCCCTTTAATGCTAATAAAATAAATATTAATACAAAATAGATCAAAGGTCACCTCCAATGCAAACTCAATGTAAAGCAGATCTGAATGTAGCATTGTGCGTTGTGTTTACCTGTGTGAGTTGAGTCTGTGATGAATCTTTCGAGACGGAATGATGTTGTTGTGTTGATTTGCAGCCGTCATGTGTTGTGTGCAGGCGGGACAGCTCACTGGTGAAGGAGGAAATCAAAGCCTTCCTGGGAAACAGACGCATCTCACAGGCCGTGGTGGCTCAGGTCACAGGTCAGTCCATCACAGGCAACAATTACAGTAATGCTTTTACAATGCAAGACACGCCACTGGAATAAGCATTACAATTAACATGAAATGAAGCTATAATGTACAGTAAAATACTAAATTATTAGCCCTTCTATGAAATTAGGTCCAAATATCCCAAGTGACGTTTAACACAGAAAGGTAGTTTTTAGTATTTACTTTTAAATATATATATATATATATATATATATATATATATATATATATATATATATATATATATATATATATATATATATATATATATATATATATATATATATATATATATATATATATATATATATATATATATATATATATATATATATATATATATATATATATATATATATATATATATATATATATATATATATATATATATATATATATATATATATATATATATATATATATATATATATATATATATATATATATATATATATATATATATATATATATATATATATATATATATATATATATATATATATATATATATATATATATATATATATATATATATATATATATATATATATATATATATATATATATATATATATATATATATATATATATATATATATATATATATATATATATATATATATATATATATATATATATATATATATGTTTTTTTTTAATCTAGGAGAAAATGTAATTTTGGTCGGAATAAAAGCAGATTTTATTTTATTTTATTTGTGAGGTCAATATTATTAGCCAGTTTTTCCATTGGCTACAGAACAAAGCACTGTTGTCCAAAGACTTGCCTAATTAACCTAATTTGCCTAGTTAACCTAATTACCCTAGTTAAGCTTTTAATGTCACTTTAAGCTGAATACCAGTATCCTGCAAAACAACTAGTAAAATATTATGTACTGTCATCATGGCAAAGACAAAATAAATTATTAAAAATTAGTAATTAAAACTTCTGTCAAACAGCACTTTGGAAATGTTAATTAAAATGAAAAAAAAAAAAAAAATTCACCGGAGGAGTGTATATAATAAATGATAATTTTGGTGTATTGAAAATATAATAATTTATGAACTGAATATCCAATCAAAAAGAATTAATTGTTGGTGTGTGGATTTGCTATTGGTGGATCTCATGTGGTTGACAGGTTGATCCCGTTTTCACATCACTGAACACCAAACAGAAAAGAGATCATGTTTTTTTGTTGGATGTTGGGAAAGTTTTTGATGACAGATATTACAAAGTTTCTGCAAGGTCTACAAATGTCTTAAATCTCAAAATCCAAATTTTAGGCTTTAAAAAGTCTTAAATTTACTGAAATATTGTGTCGTAGGTCTTAAATCTTTAAACAGGTCCTAATTTTCCTTCATTCACGTATAGCTAGCCAATCTGGCCAAAATCTATACAATTACCAACAATCCTAATCTCAATAAAACTTTACTTTTTATTTAAAAAGGTCATTTTTAACTCTATTTTACATAATGGTTTACGTATTTTCCATACAATTACAATTGTTTAAAAGTTCTCCATGTATTTACTGCTCAGAACACCGACCTGGACAGATTGTTGTTCATAGATTTAGTTTATTATAGTTTTTAAAACATGTCCATTTTTTATTTTAAAGAAAGTTTATGTTGGTAAAAAAAAAAAAAGTGTATGGATACAAGTATAGCTTGCTTGTTTTGACACAGTATTAGAACATTTTGCTGAGAAATTAAATCTAAAATATTTTAATTGTTTATTATTAGCTTATTATTGTATTATTAAATGTATTAGATATTTAAATTAAATTAAAATAATTTCCATCTGGGCCATTTGAAAAATTCCTTAGCCTTTAACCCTTTATACGTCTAAAATGACATTCATAATGGTTTTAAAAACACTTTTATTTAACTCTGTAAGACCTGCAGAAACCCTGTATTAAGAATGTATTTAAAATAAATGCACTAATAAATTATTTTTAAAAAACTGCAATATTAAAAAAATATATATAATTTTCTTCAAATTTTAAGATGCCACTGAATAGTTCATTGTTTATGATCCTGCTTCACGTAGCTTTATTGAATAAAATGTTCTAATAAACTATGATTTTGTCACTTTAGAGCATTTTGCTTTCAGAGAGGATCCACATACAATGGATTCAATCTACTAAACAGAAATGGAATTTTTAATATCCTGTTGTTTTGTCATTATCGCGTGCACGTCTTGGTCTCGGTGCATTAGTTTCTTATTGATCCCTTTTGTAATTTTCTTTGTCAGGCATCAGTCAGAGCAGGATCTCTCACTGGCTCCTCCAGCAGGGCTCAGATCTCAGCGAACAGAAGAAACGAGCTTTCTATCGCTGGTACCAGCTGGAGAAAACCACGCCAGGTTATAACCCTCTTTAAGTGTTTTCAATTTACTGCAAGTTGCTAAAGAAAACAGTCACGGTTTTGTCGTCATGAATAAAAGATGATGCTTCACACAAGTACAAAGCTTTCTTTAAACGGTAAATAATAGTTTAGCAAACAAATGTTACGTCCAGATCGAACAACATTTACACTCGTGCTGAAAGATAGGTGACTGAATACCATGGTCATGTTGTTATTCATAATAATTTTATTTTGCTCTGTAATTTTATAGCTACTCTTATCATTATGTACTGTTAAATATACTGTTAGAATTTTTTATTACTTTTTAATTAATTACTGCAGTTAGGGATGTCAGTTTCCACAAATTCTCATGATCGATCAGCAATTTTATAAACAATCAATTAATTATTATTAACTTGTGTGTATTGTTCAAATTGACTACCCTTTCATTATGTTGGGGGCTGTATTTGCCCCATTGACTTTCATTATAATGACGCTTTTTGACAGAATATAATCATGCTTTCTTGATTTTTGTTGATTTTTCCCTGTTGGGAAGAGGTAAATTGTAAATTTTTACTGGTTTGCTGTTTACTGATCATCATTTCACACCATTAACCCTTTATATAGGTCTGTGCAAAAACGTTTCTGGCTTACATGTGGAGTTCTGTGGAGATTATAGTGTGCGTGTGTGTGTGTGCGCATAAGTACACTTACTATGTTTATTATATTCTGAAAGTTCAGCTGCTTATTTAGATTTTCTCAGACATATCAATGTAAGTTAGCAAAGGTCTCGCACACACAAACACACTGTACTCTGTATACCATAAAAGGCAGAAACTAAGCTTTCTTTCACTTTAACTGATGGTCAACAGTAAAAATAAAACATTTTACCTCTTCCCAACAGGGAAAACCAGCAACAATCAAAAATGTCATTATAATGGAAGTCAATGGGGCAAAAACAGCCCCTAACAGCATAAAAGGGTAGTCAGTTTAATCAAAGTGTATTTTTGAGGGGTTTTCCCCCTAAATTTTCCCAAAATGTGTGTCAAAATAAGATTTCAATTAATTTGCTGAAACACACAGAAGACTATGGCCAAATTAAGACTCAAATTTGATTAAGAATTGAAAGAAATGAGATATGGGACTTAAAAGATTGTGTACAAACAGCAAGAGTTAAATAATTATTACACTGATAAAGGCTCGCAGCCAAAACTTTTTTTTTTTTTTTTTTTCGTGTGATTTAATAAATTGAGAGCGGTACTCATCATTTGAAGAAATTTGGTCACAGCACTGAACTTATGTGATTTGTTCAATAGTTATTTAAACTATTATGTTTAGAAAACTATTATGTTTAATGGGTTGTGGCTAATAATTCTGACTTCAACTGTATATTTTTTCAATTTTTTCATGCATATTTCAGGTGCCACCCTAAACATGCGGCCCACCCCCGTATCTCTAGAAGAGATGGAGTGGCGTCAGACTCCACCCCCTATAAGCTCCGCCCCCGGAAGCTTCCGTCTGCGCAGAGGCAGTCGGTTCACCTGGAGGAAGGAATGTCTCGCTGTGATGGAGAGGTAAAACTCAGAACTGATTATATGTCCTAAATAGCCCCTTTCACACTGTATTACTGGTAAATCAGTCACTAAGTGACAAATTGGCCATTTTTATCAAGATTTGGGAACCATTGGTACTATTTTTAAGATAAACTGAACTGCTATAGACTTTCATAAGACTATTGTATGTTAATTTACTTATTTTATATTTGCTTTGGTTTTATAGGCCATGTTTTACCTTGCTTTAATCTATATCCCAGCCAGTTTTATATTATGACTTTAAACTACTCAATGTTATTATATATGTTATTATAAATAGCTTTTATTGTAATTGTTATGAATCTTCTACAAACATTTTAATCATTACTATGCTGCGTTCACACCAGACACGAATGAAGTGTCAAGCGCGAGTAATTTACATGTTAAGTCAGTGCAAAGATGCAAATGGACACAAGGTGGCGCTAATAATCACATCATTCGCCCCACTTAATTCACACAAGTCGCATCAGGTGTTTTGCACGCAAATCACTCGGTTTGGAAAATCTGAACTTTAGCTGACATTCGCGCCACATTATCCAATCAGGAGCTTGCTCTTGTATGGGGCATGATTATGATGTAGAACCTGTTGTTGGTGTCCCGAGGGGAAATCCACCTGCCTACACCGACAACAGCTCATCAAACTGGGCTTGGCTCAGTTCGAAGCACTGCTGAAAGCCTCATCAACCAGGTTAAGTTTCTGGAGGAGTTGATGAACTCACAGAGCTGGGTGCACATCTGAAAGGATGTAGTGGACTCAGACATGATGCTGAACAAATTAGTTTTTCAGCCTTCCTAAAGCACAGCTACTATCTCAATAAAATCTGTTATGCTCCATTCACACGGGGCTTCAGCTTCAACGCTTAACTGAAGGCATGTCTGAAGTTAGGGTTAACGCGATCATCATAGCAGCGTCAGCCAATATATTCAGTCAGCAATAGGCTACTGTCTAGCTGGTGTATTTGCATACAGCAATCTGATTAGCTGATGCTTCCGTCGGCGCTTGAAAAGTTGAGCTAGTCCCAACTTCTGCAGCGAGCAACACCTATGAAGCGGCGCCGACGGATCCACAATGCAGTTCAGCAACGCCTGACGTCACCCATTCAAAGTGAATGGGAAGCGTTGACGCTGACACCTGGGGAATTCACACAGGGCGTTAGGCATTTAGCAACGAAGCTAGAGTCACCAGACAGACAGAAACCCTGCCCATGACATGAATCCACATCTATTGTTCGGTGAAATTGACGTGCGAATGAACTCAAATTTAAAATGTTCACACATTTATTTACGAGTGAATAGCTCAATTTATTCATGCCACTTGCATCTGATGTGAACACAGCATTAGATGGGTGGGATTTTGAGTTTCTTTTTGTAAAAAGTGAAATCTACCATAATAGAGTACTTCCAAGAGGGCTTTGATATATGGTCCAGAGTTCAACGCTTGCGCAACGATTTAATTTACCATGATAACCATGATGCACTGTGATATAGCCTGGTTCGTTGGATCGTTTAGTTTCACTACAATCGATTCGCTCAATCGAGCCGAGACCACCTCATTCTGGCGATCTCGGACTGATTGATTTGGCGTGGACCCGAGCGTGGTTGCGGGATTCACAAATGCCACACGAACCGTGATTACTGGGCAAACGAGACGAGAGGCAATTACTGGGCAAACGAGAGGTTCTGAAACAAACATCTGGGCGTGAAAGCACCCTGTATTTGCACTTAAAGTGACAAGGCAGCACTGGCCCCGATCGGGCCAGTAACCGTTCAGTATACTGTCCCAAGCGTCTCTCACACTGGCCCCGGGCCAGCGGGAAGTCCTTATTGTTGAGCCCTGTGGTCCATCTCTTTGTTGTAAGGATTTAGCCAGTACTGTATTTATGTATGCATGTTTTTCAATGAAAATAAAGAGTATAAAAAATAATAATAAAATTAATAAAAGCATTTGCCGTTAAATTAAAACTTCTCATTCTGGAAAATGGCTTAAGCCAATTTTCTCACATTTAAAAAAAAAAGAAAAAAAAAAAGGTTGGTCACATGATCAATTCACATTTACTGGTAATTTTCCAGAAAAGTCTTTATTAGTAGTAAAATATGTTAATGTATTTAGTCTCTGCAAAAAATGCACCATAAATGTGCTTCTTTTGCTTAAATCATGGCCATTTTTATTTTTTAATCCGGCAAGTCCAGCTTATCTGTATTTAAAATTACAGTATAAACAATTTGAGTTTTGCCTTTGCTAACTAGTTTTTGTTCTCCGCAGTTATTTCAGTGATAATCAATATCCAGATGAAGCCAAAAGAGAGGAGATCGCCAACGCCTGCAATGCTGTCATTCAGAAACCAGGTAAAGAAAAAAGCTTGTGTCTGAATCTGTGTTTGCCAGATTCATTGAGAGATTGCACTACAAACTGCACGTTTCATTAGCATCGCTAACCTTGAAATTTCACTTTTCCTTCCTAGGAAAGAAGTTGTCTGATTTGGAAAGAGTCACGTCCTTAAAAGTCTACAACTGGTTTGCCAACCGACGCAAAGAGATCAAGAGGAGGGCCAATATTGGTACCGTATTTTAGTTGATTTACATCTGTCCATGTTTAATATTGAATGTTTTGCATTTGTTAGGTTTTCACTGCAATTTCAATGTTTTGTTTCTTCATTTGTATTAACAAAATAATTTTTATAGCTTTAATTAGAACCAATTTTAGCTATAATAATCCTGACCTCTCTCATTTTCAGGTTGAACCATGTGAAAATTGTTAAAACTGAACAAACTAATTAGGGAAAATACTATGAAGTCACATTAATATATTTACATTAATAAATGAAACATTTACAAACAATATAAACATGATTTTTTCTTCACATTTTAGAACAAATCCTTAAAGTTTATAAGTATTCACAACAGTACAACTATTGAATGAATAATAATAATTACTAAACAAAAGTGTAAAATAAACAATTACTATGTTTAAAATGTAGCTGCATTAACTTTATATATCATGAACATGCAATATCAAAACTAGTAGTGTGCGTGATAAACAAATACTTAAGGATTCACCATATTTTTCAGCTGTCGGAAATAAACTGCCGAAAATGGCATTTTCATTTGTGTTATATAGTATTATGAGTATACTGGAATTTCTTACTTTGAACTGCTACCAAGAAAAATCCTAATATTCGATACCATTTTTGATACTGCAAGGAAATCAGCTTTCACACTGGATGCCTAAAGCCCTGTGCTACGAAAACCCATTCATTTCAATGGCTTGCATTGCACAAGTGTGACATTACTTCCTCAACCAAAGCGAAAACCATGTTCAGAGTTAGAAAACGCTCAATATTCTACTCTGAGGATATTCTACTCGTGCACACATACAGTATACGCATCTATGCATAAACTGCACATCCGAAAATCAAAGTCTGTTCAAATAATGCGCCGACACGACATTTCGTTGTAGTGTACTTGTTGCATTAGTCATGGCAACAATGGTAAAATGATGCATCTTGACTTGTATCGCAAAAATTTTACTGTTAATAAAAATCTAAATGAAAACAGTCCTTAAATTCACGGTCAATAAAATTTGGTTATTTATTTGGCTTGCATTTAAAAAAAATCTGTATAGTTTAAGTTATTGATTTCAAATTAAAAGGGATTAATAAAATATATTCTTTCATAGAATAACAAATACTTAGTTTAAAGCACATGCATCCGGAATGCGCTTTCGGCACACAATTTTCATTTCAATGCATCCCTACAAATACTCTGATTTAGATGATTAAAAAAACAAAAAACAATGCAAATTAAATAATTTAGCCATCAAGTAGTAAAATCCTCCATTAGTTTACTGATCGAGTAACTGGCAGTCAGTCATTTTCTGTTGTTCGTTTGTTTGTTTGCTGTATTAGTGTTTTTTAAAGAGTTTCAGATGTTTCATGACAGGGTCTTTTTTCCAAGAAGCCACAATCCTGGAGAGTCATGGGATTGATGTTCAGAGTCCTGGAGGACACTCTAACAGCGACGATGTCGACGCTAATGACTACAGCGAGCAGGTGAACCGGTCTTTCACTGAATCTCTCAGGATTTTATTTAACACAATTGCTAGAGCTCACCTTACTGGTTTCATTACAGGGTTGCGATGTTGCCTATTTTGAAAAGAGAGGCGTGAACAGACCTTTTGGTTACTACCGTCTGGAGCCCACCTCACCAACACAGGTATCACAAGCTAGGAAGGGAAACTTTATATTTGGGATTTTTCTTTATTTTTTCCCCCCAAACTTAAAGTAGGTGCATCTCTATCAAGTTCTTTAGCTGCGGTCGCACTGCACTTTTTGCCCCATAGACGTCCATTCATACGCAAATGAACACGACGAACCGGAAATGCAAGTTCATGCAACAAGTTTCGTAGTTTGCTGCATAGCAAAGTTCAAGCTTTTTTTTTTTTTTTTTAATTATAGCTTTGAAACATTACATAAAATAATAACACAAAATTCAGATATATGCTGTATCCGGGAACATTACAATAATTACAACAACAGCCAGAAATGAAAATGAAGCAAAAACATGACAGGAGAAAAATTAATTAATAAATAAATTAATTAATTAATTAATTTAAAAAAATAAACACATAAATAAAAAATTTAAGAAATATTACAAAATACTTCTATACATATAAACAAAAATAATAACTTCGTATTCAATCATCGACTACAATGGGAGATCTGTACCAGAGGAAAATTCCTTCATGAAATCTAACATTAAATCACTCTTTTTGTTTTTAATTTGCATTAGAGACTTTTTTAAATTTTCCATTTCTAATAAAAAAATATTGTAATACGCAAACTTCTGTTTATGTATAAAATATTTACCTTGTAAAATGTAGAAGTTAACAACATACTCGAATGTTCTTTTTGTGTGTGAAAAAGTGCAAAGGACATCTTTTAAAGAGAGCCTGAAATTAACATTTCTCTGCCCAATAAAACGTCACTAACATCATTCTAAAATTGAAGAGAGAAATCACAGTTATAGAAAAGATGAGATAAGTTTTTCTCATGTATATTACAAAATGTGCAAGTATTATCAATATCCGTGAATTTAGATAAAGTTGCTTTGCAAGAATACATTTTGTGAAGTATTTTAAAGTGCACTTCTTTAACCTTATTTAAAAGGCAAAATTGAAAGGGTATGCAAAGTGTTCAAGCTTCAAGCTCTGACGAACTAAATGACATCAGGTGACTGCATGAGACCAATCCAAGATCAAAACATGATTTTTCTGTACAGAAATAAAAATATGGTCCAATCGCTTGCTTATTTTCGTGTAATCATCTTGTTTAAACCCACCCCTTTTCAGAGTTACATGCTCAAATTCTAGTGTGACCGTGACAGAGTGGCAGTATTGGTGAACTAGCAATCAAACATGTGTGTAACATTCGCTACCTTAGTGTTTATTTAAAAAATGTGCTGCCATCTCCAAAATATTCGCATTAACCATATTAGCACACGTTTAGAAGCACCTCAAGCGAGTGTAAAAACTTTTGTAAGAATTAAAAGTTTTATTTGAAATGAAGCGTTTCTATCACACGTTTCTAATGTGATACTTCAAAATGATGAGCCCAGCTATAGACAACTAATGCACAAAAGAGAATCACAAAAATTTTATACATGTAAATAATAAAGGCTTATGGTTATTGCGCACTGAATCTGAAATTTTTGTCCGTCATTTTCACACACTAAAAGATAAATTCGACCCCAAGTTGTGTGAGCGGTTTTGCCTCCAAAAAATCTGTGTCATAAAAAAATTCAAACCAGGTTTGATTTTTCCACTTTTTGTATCCAAAAAGTGCTTTGAGAGGTGTTTTGACAGTTCAGAGCTACCCTACAAGCTAAAAAAGCATACAGAACGCCGGCATTTGAGCTCCAGATTACTTTATGACAAACACAGTGCATAAAATAAAGACAGAATGTGGCGAACCCATAACTGGATTCAGTGACTGGCTGCTGCTGCTTGATGTGTGTCAAAGCATTTGACGTACTGCCCATAGACATTATAATAGAAAGCATGGTCTGCTTTCAGTCAGTTGCTTCGACACGTCAACGTCTACTAGTTGCCTCCAGTCTGTGTTCAGGATTTGTTTACATACGTGAATGTGTGAACCAGGGGCATAGATTTAGGGTGGACAGAGGGGATGTGTCCCCACTAATCACGATCATTGAAATGTCCCCACCAATAATTAAATCGCCTTTATATATATAAAATAAATAAAAATTGCACTCTCAGCATTAACCTAGACACGCTGAAAGGGTTTAAACCTTCAATCGCGTCCTCCCGCACCCAAAACGAATATGGACACTTTGATTGGCTGTGCCTTTCCCTGCTGTCATGTGAGAGGCTGTGGCTGCGCTCAGATAAGCAGCGCCAAATGCTGTGGATTGTTTTTATCCAATGCAAGAATAAGGTGTGTTGGGTGACACACACAAGTAAGCATGGCAGCAGCAAAAAAGGTGGACATAAGGTGCAACGAAAGTGTAAGTCACGTAAACGCAAGTTGGCTACTGAATGATAATGCCGTTAATGATCGTGTTTTAACGCACAGGCTGATATAGGCTAGTCTGTGAATAACATGCCCTGAAAGCTAACTGCAGAATAAACAGCTGAAGTATATGATTCCCACCAGTTCTACTCATCTCTAGCATGTCCGATTCTATTCATTTATTCATTTTCTTTTCGGCTTACTCCCTTTATTAATCCGGGGTCGCCACAGTGGAATGAACCTCCAACTTATCCAGCATATGTTTTACGCAGCGGATGCCGAATGAGTATTAATATTTTGAGGACCATTACCATTATTTTTTGTTTTAGAAGCACATTCTCCTCTTAAACATTTAGTGTAAAATGGGAAAGTATTACATTTTAAAGCTCCTGTGAGATTAAAATAATGTTTTTTTTAGATGTTAGTCGTCAGTATGTTAGTCATAATGTAGCTAGTGTGCTACAAAATTCACATTTAGAAGATATAAACAGTGTTTGGGAAAGTTACTTTTGAAAGTAATGCATTACGATATTGAGTCACTCCCTAAAATAGTAACTAGTCGTGTTGCAACACGACTAGTTACTATTTTAGGGAGTGACTCAATATCGTAATGCATTTTTTGCCTCCAAAAATGTGTCATAAAAAAATTCAAACCAGGTTTGATTTTTCCACTTTTCGTATCCAAAAAGTGCTTTGAGAGGTGTTTTGACAGTTCAGAGCTACCCTACAAGCTAAAAAAGCATACAGAACGCCGGCATTTGAGCTCCAGATTACTTTATGTAAATCGAAAGTGTAAGTCACGTAAACGCAAGTTGGCTACTGAATGATAATGCAGTTAATGATCGTGTTTTAACGCACAGGCTGATATAGGCTAGTCTGTGAATAACATGCCCTGAAAGCTAACTGCAGAATAAACAGCTGAAGTATATGATTCCCACCAGTTCTACTCATCTCTAGCATGTCCGATTCTATTCATTTATTCATTTTCTTTTCGGCTTAGTCCCTTTATTAATCTGGGGTCACCACAGTGGAATGAACCTCCAACTTATCCAGCATATGTTTTACGCAGCGGATGCCGAATGAGTATTAATATTTTGAGGACCATTACCATTATTTTTGTTTTAGAAGCACATTCTCCTCTTAAACATTTAGTGTAAAATGGGAAAGTATTACATTTTAAAGCTCCTGTGAGATTAAAATAACGCTTTTTTTAGATGTTAGTCGTCAGTATGTTAGTCATAATGTAGCTAGTGTGCTACAAAATTCACATTTAGAAGATATAAACAGTGTTTGGGAAAGTTACTTTTGAAAGTAATGCATTACGATATTGAGTCACTCCCTAAAATAGTAACTAGTCGTGTTACACTGCAAAAAATGCTTTTCTTACTTAGATTTTTTGTCTTGTTTCTAGTCCAAATATCTAAAAATTCCTAAATCAAGAAGAATTTTCTAAACAAGCAAAACATATTGCCTTGTTTTGAGAAATATTATGCCAATATTAAATATTAATATGTAAAATAATCTGCCAATGGGGTAAGCAAAATAATCTTACGTCAAAAGAAAAAAACAAGATTAATTTGCTTACCCCTTTGGCAGATTATTTTACTTGTTTTAAGAAAAAACTCGCTTAATATTGGCATATTATTTCTCAAAACAAGACAATATATTTTGCTTTTCTAAAAAATGCTTCTTGATAGAAGAAATTTTAGATATTTAGACTAGAAACAAGACAAAAAATCTAAGCAAGAAAAGCATTTTTTGCAGTGTACTTGGTTACTATTTAATGGTAAGTAATGCGTTACGTTACGTTTGAGTCATTTTTCATACCTGCCTGAACTCATACTCCTTCAGAACTTGCAGGATTTTTTTTAAATAGACAAGATCTGCATTTAATAATTGTTTTCATCCAAAAATGCGAATTAACTTTGTGCAAAACTGGATTATCGCATAAAAGACGTGTGAATAAAGCAGCGATTCTATCCAACGAGTCAAAGCAAACAAAATCATCACTTCCTGATTAACTGGCACCAAATATCAACAGTAAGAATGTAATTTGCTGTGGTAGAAGAAGCTATGTGAATCTTTACTTTATTTAGTAAATGACCTGCGCCTTAGAAGGCAATCCTGACACGCTGTGAACGCGCGGTGGTGTTTGGAGGTGTGAGATGCGGAGCACAGACCTTTCAGCTAAGTCCCTTTATTAATCTGAGGTCGCCACAGTGGAATGAACCGCCAACTTATCCAGCATATGTTTTACGCAGCGGATGCCCTTCTAGCTGCAACCCATCTCTGGGAAACATCCATACCACACTCGCACAAAAAAGTGGGAAAAACAAGAAACTACTTTTAATTCAGTCTTGGCAAATCTTTATTTTGTTCTAAATTAGTTTTTTTGACCCTCAGATTTTCAGTAAGCATTGCATTTTGACCAATCCAATAACACCTCATTTTTATAGTTGCATGTTTTTAAAAGTAGCATGTTAAAACCCTTAATTAAATCATTTTCACTGATTTCGCAGTTGCTAATTTATGCGCTTGTCTCTTTAAGGACGACGCCGGCAATCACGCGGACCATCAAGACCCCATCTCTCTGGCCGTGGAGATGGCAGCTGTCAATCACAGCATCCTCGCCCTATCCCGTCCAGGAGGCGTGGCCAGTGAAATCAAAACAGAAGCGATAGATGACGACTGAGGAGAACTGCCAGACGATGCATATGTGTGTGTGTGTGTGAGAGTGGATGTTGCAGACATGTTCACGGGGCAATGATCAAATCAACGCTTTTAGAATCTAATAATCGCCTGCCATCGACACTCCTGCTGAACCACTAAACAAAGCCAGAGTCAACCACGGCTCTTATTTAAGCCTCCCAAACCTCGTACCTCATTCCAGTTCCAGTAACTTGTATAAGCGTTTCGTGTGCTTCCTGTCTGTGTGCTCCAGTAATCCTCATTCTCACGGATAAGCTAAAAGGTGAGCAAAAGCTGTGGTTTATTTCTGCTCCGGATTCATCATTCCCACTACAAATGTTCTCAGTTGACTGATTTTAATGTTTGTTTGTTTGTTTTTGTATCGTTTTTCATCAAATAGCAGTTGGGTGTATCTCACGAAAACGGTCAAGACGACTTTTCATCACATGATCGAAAAGCAAAATGAGTATTAATATTTCGCATATTTTGAGGACCATTACCATTATTTTTTTGTTTGTTTTAGAAGCACATTCTCCTCTTAAACGTTTAGTGTAAAACAGGAAAGTATTGCATTTTAAAGCTCTTGTAAAATTAAAATAACGTTTTTAGATGTTAGTCGTCAGTAAGCTAGCGTGCTACAAAACGACATTTAGAAGATATAAGTTGGGGAAAGTTAAAGTAGTGCAATGCAATATTGAGTTACTCCCCGAAAAAGTAACTAGTTATGTTACTTGGTTACTTTTTATGGAAAGTAATGCTTTACATTACTTTTGAGTTACTTTTCATTCCTGCCTGAAGCTTGATCTTGGTCTTTTTTTAAATAAATGAGCTCTGCATTTAGTAGCTATGTTTTCATCCAAAAATGCAAACTAACTTTATGGGCAAGACTGGATTATCACATAAAATAAGTGCGAATAAAGCAGCGATTCTATCCAACGAGTCAAAGAGAACAAAATCCTTAATTCCTGATTAATTTGCGCCAAATAGCAACAGTAAAAACTTAATTTGCTGCAGTAGGAGAAGCTGCATCAATCTTTTCTTCATTTAATAAATGACTTGTGCCTCAATCCTGTGAACGCGCGGTGGTCGTTTGAAGGCATGAGACGCGGAGCACAGACGCACAAGTCATTAATAAAATAATACTAAAGGCTCGTACACATCGGGATGCTTTTCGTTTGTGTTTATCGTCAGCGTTTTAAGACGTTTTTCCGGATTCAAACCCAAGCGATTTTCACTGGCGTCTAGCAGAAGAGTATGCAAAATCCCTCCTTGACGTCAGATGGCGCTACACAACTTTAAGCTTCTGACACCAGCTTGTAACACAGAAGAAGAAGACAAAGTTGCCACACATGTTGTTATGGATGGTTCAAGTAGCAGCTCCAGCTCTAGCGATGAAGAAATGATTATTGTTCACGAGTGCAATAAGCAGCTCCACGTTCATATCGCCTCTGGACATCTTCTTCAATGTGCGCTCGCATTGACAGTTTTGCGCTTGAGCGCCTCCAAGTGCTGTTGACTGAAACTTCAGCAGCTCCGTGCACATGAACAAAAGTGGAGATATAATTGGTGGAGAAAGTTTAGACATGGCGCGTCAAAAAAAAACTAGCTTGAGGCGTTTTTTTTTTTTTTAAATGACGCTTTTAAGCCTGACGTTTTGCTCGTTGGTGTGCATTAACACCCTTTATTTAGTCACGAGGTGTTAAACGTCAGCAGAAAACACAAGCAAAAAAACGTCTCTGTGTGCACGGGCTTAAAGGTTAAGGCATTTTAGAAAAAGCAAAACAACATTTGAGATGTTTTTTCCAGTGTGCTCAGCCTGCTGGTTTGTCCATTCACACACGCTTTCATCATCATATGATCTCTTAGAACAAAAGTCACATGACTTTTTTTTAATGCACAATCTGGGATTTGTTCATTAAAAGGGTTTCCATCGTAGTTTATGCACATCTTTTCCTATCGAATAAAAAGTTCAAAAGTTCATACGGTTTTTATGTGCATTTTAAAAATTTATGCGCTGCTTGGCGTTTTCTTCAACTGTTTTTTTTGTGCAAATCCAAAATGTGCATCAAAATAAGTGGATGGAAACAGCTAATGACACACAGTATAGCCTACACCTTTATTTACCTTAAAAAAACTAATAAAAAAGATTTGAGTAATGTTACCTTCTGAGAACTTCCTGATGCTATACATTGTATATACAGATTAATGAAATTGAAAACAACGTGTTTGCTGCTTTACCATTTTTGTCTCATTAGTTTGGTAAAATCTCTTTTTTCAGACCATCCGCTTTTCTTCCATGTGTTAAGAAATTATGAGAATACTTCCATTACAGAAATGTAAGACTCTGCCAATCTTGGTTTCTGTCTGTTCCCTCATTCTCTCATTGAGTGTGATTCAACGTGATTACACTAATTTTAATTCAGCAAACCTTTTTTTTAAACTTAATAAATTAATATAAAAAGTAACTCAAGTTATATTTTTAATAAGGTCACTCAAATATTATCGCTTATTTATTTTTTTTAAAGTAATGCGTTAATGTACTCGTTACTTAGAAAAGTAATATCATTACGTAACTCGCGTTTCTTGTAATGCGTTACCCCCAACACTGGATATAAACATCTAAAGCTTAACTTTGACGTCACCTCATGCTTAGGTTTCTCATAAAATCTTCTGACCAATCAGATGCTCTCTAGTGTCTGAAATGCCCCGCCCCCTTCTTGTGCTCAACCACTCTCACTGGCAGAGTTGTGATGAAAACAAAACACTATCGACAGTTTTCTAAAAAGAGGAGAGGCTAATCTATGCCCCACCCTCTCTTGATGTTTCAATTTATATTACGTCAAACATGGAAATAATAATAATAAAAAAAAGCACACTTCATGGGGACCTTAAAGCAGGGGTCACCAATCTCGGTCCTGGAGGGCCGGTGTCCCTGCTGGATTTAGCTCCAACTTGCCTCAACACACCTGCCTGGATGTTTCAAGTATACCTAGTGAGACTTTGATTAGCTTGTCCAGGTGTGTTTGATTAGGGTTGCAGCTAAAATCTGCAGGACACCAGCCCTCCAGGAACAAGTTTGGTGACCCCTGCTTTAAAGCCTTAACCTTATGATCATAATAGACTGGTCAACGGTTGACAATTTTATTGCGGCTCCACAGGGTGGTTCATCTAGTTTATTAAAAAAATGGGCTGTGAATTCATTCCTTGGCAGTTCGTGCGTTCGGGCATTTTCCTCTTCGCGAAGAAACTTTCCTAAGATGTCGGCTTCTTAATCATTTTGCTAGCTTGTTGGTTATATTTTATATGCTCAAATGACCGAAATGTAACCGAGAGAATATGGTCTGTACGATACAACTAGTGCTGTACGATATTAGAAATATTATATTATTTATTCTGCGATATATATTGCGATATAAATACAATTTCACTAGATGAGTTGAATAACTATTTGGAAGAAATTTGGAAAAACTGAGATTCAATAATCAATTGGGATGATTCTGTATGGAAGTACATATGCATAAAATACAGGAAACAATCTACAAGCGAAGATAAATTCAATCAAGGAAAATATACCAATTAAATAAACAGCGTTTAACTCATCGAACAATCAAACCCTATTTTGGTATACAGGAATTGAGTAATCAAATGTAAATTAAAACTGCATAGCATTCGTTTTATCAATGTTCGAAACAATCGTTATTAATTTGTCAAAGTTACATGTAACTGGTACAATTACTTAGGCCTGAATGTTTTTAAAACCTTTTTTTAAATTATAATCCAGGCTCGACATTGCGTATGCTCGCGATTTGACTTGCGAATGATCACCTTGCGATATCGATGCTGACACAATATATTGTGCAGCTCAAGTTCAGACCCAGATAATAAATAAAACGGAAACAGTTAATAGTTTCTTGTGCGGCCCGGTACCAACTGATCCATTGACTTGTACCAGTCCATGCCCCGGAGAGTGGGGACCACTGCTTTAAAGTATTTGTTGTACTTCCTGAATTTGGGATTTAAATGAAGTAATACTGATTTTTAAAAAACAAACTAGATTGGAAAATGTGCTTAAATTTCATAAAAGTTTGCGAAATATTATTAACTCATTTTCCTTTTGCTCTGTGAGTGAAATTTGATAATTTTTTTTTTCTTTTTAATTCTTTCACATTTCACCCAATTGCATTATACTGTGTTTTCGTGTGCAAACAGGGGGAAAACTGAATTATAATCAAAGTGAAACTTGAAAGATGTGGTTTGATAACTGCCAAAAGCGCGAGTTATTGTGTGCGAAAAGTCTCCTGGACTCTAAATGAACCGAAACGAGACTGAAACCGTTAAAAATGTCCAGCGTTACCCAAAGTGAATGTGCATTAACACGTTTCTTCTTATGTTTGTATTTATTTAGCTTTTTTTTTACCGTTAATGCAGACAGTTCACATACAGGATCAGGACCGAAGCATCTGTTCTCACTGTGTTTAAATATTTATATCTGAAGATGTGAAATATCATTCCGCTATGATTTAGGCTGAAGATTACAGCAGAAATATCTCACAAGAAAGACTGACTAATAAACAGAGATCTCTCCACTAACATAAGCTTAGTTCCAAAATGTAGCTCATTTTATTCAGAGAAGGTTCTAAGAGAACTTTGACTTGTTGGGATTCATTTCATAAAGCAAACAGGCGAAACGAATCCTTTGTACAGCCATTTTTTAGGTAAATGTAATACCTTGTCCTAACTACACATGACATGACGCAACGACGTGCGATATTTCTTTGTTAAAAGGAGTTTTTGTCCTAACCTCTATTTTTAAATTTCTATTTCTGCAATGTCAAAGCTAGACAACAACATGAACTACTATGAACACCTCAGGTACTGATTATAGGCTTTATTCAGTGTTAAATGCTACTAATGGGAGTTTGAAGACTAATTTTTGTGACATTTATTGCTATACTGAAAGCAGAAGCCGCAGATAGTTGACCTCAGATCTTGAAAAGAAAATAACAAGCAAACAAATAATTCGGAAATGAATGTTAGAACTGTGACTAACATTTCAACAAGCATCAATCACTCAAGATGATTTTAACAATGTTAAAAGAGGTGTAATAATTCGATTATACACTACCTGACAAAAGTCTTGTCGCTTATCCAAGTTTTAGGAACAAGAAATAATAACTTGACTTCTAGTTGATCAGTTGGTATGAGAAGTAGCTTTTATGAAAGGCAAAGGCCTCTAGATTACAGAATAAAATATGATCATGTCTTGATTTTTAAAGATTTAATTAGGACAGTAAGGTCTGACTGAAATAATGTCCAGTCTAGAATATAAAGTCATGCTGCAGTGGAGACAGAATGAATATTGTGTCTGACTCCATCATGAGCTTGGAGGACTGCATCCATACATCTCTGCAATGACTCAAATCACTGATTAATAAAGTCATCTGGAATGACAAAGAAAGCGTTCTTGCAGGACTCCAAGAGTTTATCAACATTCTTTGCATTCATCTTCGATGCCTCCTCTATCTTTACCTGACATCCTCAATAATTTTCCTGTCTGGTGACTAGGCTGGCCATCCTCAGTCTGTTGATGTTGCCATCCACTCTGCAGGTCGTCTGCAGTATTTGTGATGATTGGGATGCAGTTCAGCAGATGATTACTTCGGGAAAAATCGACCTTTAGCCACTTTTCCAAATGATCAACTAGAAGTCAAGTGATTATTTGTTGCTCTTACAACTGGGATCGACAGCAAGACTTTTGTCAGGCAGTGTAAAACATTGCTATTTACTTTTATTGGCTCTGATATTTACTTTTTGTGTTGTGTCGCGCAATGTGTGTTTTTAGGACACGGTGTAAGCATTCATTTGCGTACAGAATAATCTTACAAACGGTAATTCGTTGTTCTGTGCGCCATGAATGAGGCCCTGGTTTTATATATCCTTCCTCTCTTAATGTATACAATTGATATTTATATTAAAAAAATGACCATTTTTGTTTAATAATTCTTCAGGATATTTTGTTTTAGTTGACTGTTTTATGCAGTTTTATGTTCAGAGCAGTCTCCTGAAGCGTGTCTGATTCAGATGAAGCACCCTCGTACATTTTTTTAACGTTTGTTAGATCAGAATTGAACACTGCAGCAAGAGGCTAAAAATAGCCTGTGTTTGTTTCTATTGCTGTAATGGTCAAAACATTTTAATGTTGTGTTTGAATATACAGTTGAGGTCAGGATTATTAGCCCTCCTGTTAATATTTCGGTTTCAGCACATTTCTAATCATAATAGTTTTAATAACTCATTTCTAATAACGGATTTTGTTTATCTTTGCCATGATGACAGTAAATAATATTAGACTAGATATTCTTCAAGATACCAGTGTTCAGCTTAAAGTGACGTTTAACTAGACTTATCTAGGTTAATTAGGCATGTTAGTATAATTAGGCTTAGTAAATTAGGTTTGTTCCAGGGATGCACCGAAATGAAAATTCTTGGCCGAAAACCGAAATAAATTATGCCAATTATTAGTATGATTGCGTTTATGGCTATAACTGAGCATTAATCTAACTAAAACCAAGGCAATGCAATTGCCTAAATTAATATTAAACTTATAAATCAAATCAATTTTTCTTAATCACTTTATTCATCAGCGGAATGAACCGCCAACTTATCCAGCATATGTTTCACACAGCGGATGCCTTTCCAGCTGCAACCCAGTACTGGGAAACACTTACACATTTACACTCATACACTACGGCCAATTTTGTTTACCCAATTTACCAATAGGTCATGTGTTTAGATTGTGGGGGGAAACCGGAGCACCCAGAGGAAACCCACACCAACACGGGGAGAACATGCAAACTCCCCACAAATGCTAACTGATCCAGCCGGGACTTGAATCAGCGACCTTCTTGCTGTGAGGCGACAGTGCTGACCACTGAGCCACGGTGTCAAAATCAATTACAAATTATGACGATATTTATTTAGCTCATCGCAGCAATGGATTTTCACTTCTAGGGATGGAGACGCATTACAGTAAGCAATTGTATTTTACCCAATAACTTGATAAGATCCACTGATAAATAAAAAAACTGAACTGAAACTAAATTATTTAAAAATAAACTTGCGGGACTGAATTCATGTCCTGCTGCTAAATATTTTTTATTATATCTTTAGTGATCTGCTTAAGGTAGGTCAATTTATTTTTATGCTTTTGATGAAGCAGCATTCAACTTGAGCTCTTTATACCGTGCTCCAGACTGTTTCTCAGTGTTTCGCCGCAATGTCTTTAGATAAATAATTATTTAGGCCTATTTTCATTATTCATTTACTATGTACAATAATTAAGACAAAAAAAAATGAGATAGTAAAATATAATCCACAATGAAAATGTAATTAAAAACGTAAATGAAAAAGCTTATTTATCAAAATAGCCTACCCTGAACATCATTATATTTAAGCTAAAAGACTGCATTATTTATTAATTTAGGCCTACTTATTTGTTTGTACTGTATGCTTGTGCTTTCATTTTAGCTGTCTTTTATTTCTTAAATTCTACTTTCCAAAATGAATCCTCATTGCATTTAACAAGTCTACAATAATAAAGCGTATTCACAAATTTTGAATGATTAATGAAGGAATTATAATGCTTTGTTTTATCGTTTAATTTATTTCTGTCCGTTCGCATTCCGTCACCTTGAGCCCCCTGGCGGCATAGTCACAAACTGCGGTCATACCTTAAAAACACGTCCTTACCCCATTAGAGCGGTGGCAGTACAAGTAACGGCAGTAATGGCCATATTAAAGTATCGCCTACTTTATATGTGCAACTTCAGAATAGAATATATATTCAATCACATGAATTGAAACGATTAATAAAATCCAACAAAAATTGATTTGGACCTGAACTACAAAAACAAATTTAACACCGTTTTAGTATCAGCTCTTCTGAAGTTGCACACTAGTTTGATCATGTATGAATATCATAATAACTATTGTATAAATATTACTATAACTAGAGGCCTAAATCATGCTGACGATCAAAAACAAAATCACATGATATCACAGGTGATTGTTTTCTGACCGAGTGCACCTTAAAAATAATAATAATTCCTTACATTTATATAGCGGTCTTCTGGGCACTCAAAGCGCTTTACTTGTAGGGGGGGGGTCGCCACCACCACCACCACCAGTGTGCAGCATCCACCTGGATGACGCGACGCCGGCCATTTTGCGCCAGACCGCACACCACACACCAGCTGATTGGTGGAGAGGAGACAGAGTGATGAAGCCAATCATGATATGGGGAGTGTTAGGAGGCCATGATGGACAGAGGTCAGTGGGCAGATTTGGCCAGGATGCTGGGGTTAAACCCCTATCCTTTTTCGAAGGACATCCTGAGATTTTAATGACCCCAGAGAGTCGGGACCTCGGTTTAACGTTTCATCTGAAAGATGGCGCTCACTGAGCAGTATAGAGTCCCCGTCACTATACTGGGGCATTAGGACCCACACAGACCGCAGGTTGGGCGCCCCCTGCTGGCCTCACTAACACCACTTTTGGCAGCAACCTAGCTTTCCCATGTGGTCTCCCATCCAGGTACTGACCGGGCGCAGCCCTGCTTAGCTTCAGTGGGCGACCATGTGAGAGTTGCAGAGAGCTAGCTGCGGGCGAAAAGACTTGACTGGCACTCCTCATACAGCTTGAGAAGCAGACAGTTCTTTAGGATCTATATAAATAGTAATATAAAGACTTGCAGGTTAAGGAAACCGCTTTGCTTGCACGTGCACTGTAAAAGAGGTGTCAGTCTCTACTCATGCTCTCTGCATCTATCTAGATGATTTCGCGTGCACGCTGCTTTATTTCTGCATCCAAGTGATGGAGTTCATATTGCGGATTGAGCACAGTCGCAGTGAAGTGCCGAGGATCAGAACAGAATGAATAGACACACTGCAGACATTCTGCTTCACATTAGTACGTCATCATGACACAGTTTCGGTCGTCTTTCGGTGATAATTCTTTCGGCCAAAAACCGAAATGCAATTTTTTGTGGACGAGTATTCGGTGCATCCCTTGTTTGTTCTGTAGCCAATCCAAAACAAATATAGCTTAAGCAGGCTAACAATATTTACATTAAAATGGTTTTAAAAATATAAATAACTGCTTTTATTCTAGCCAAAATAAAACTTTCTCCAAACGAAAAAAATATTATAGGAAATACTGTGAAAAAATCCTTGCTCTGTTAGACATCATTTAGGAAATATTCACTAATAATTTTGACTTCAACTGTATATCAGGAATGAATCGTCTATGGCGGTGTGCCATTAGAGCCTCTTTCCACATGTTGGAACGTGCCAAACTGCAGTATGA